CAAAAATTGCTAATGCTGTGAAAATGAATACAATTTATATACTAATTCATCATATATTACGATCATGAATTTTATGCTGACAATTGTCATACAAATAATTGCGATTAACAATTTAATTTTGTTTTGATAGTGTTACTTCGTGTAAGTCTGATAAGTTTTTTTTACTTTTTCTATCACATATAATATAAATATTATAAAATATAAATAGACCTGTATGATTTACTTTAATGCTGTGAAAATTAATCATATTTATGTAACTATTTATAATATAATAAATACAATATAATGATCATGAATTTTTTGCTGACAACAATCATACAGATAATTGCAAATAATTATTTTATATTGTTTTGAAGTAATTTTTTACTTGGAATTGTAATAGAATAATAAAAAAGATAGACCTGTATGATTCACTTCAATGCTATGAAAATTATCTATAATACAATTTATAAAAATAATATCAATTATTTATAATATAATTAGGTATAATATAATTTTCTAAATATAATTAGAATATTGTGCAGTTGGTGGTATTGCTTTCAGCACTTAAATTTGCCACATTTGGATGGCAAAATGTGACTGAACTTTAATCTGCACAACAATTGTGATTAGATTGAATAACCACAATCACAATCAGCCTAAATATGACGAATATCACCAAATATTATGCATTTCCAATTCTAATATGTTTGAATTTAAATATGCTGCATGTAAAATCCGAACATCTTCGAGAATCTGTGGTGAATGGACAGTCTGAAAGGGCTAAAAATAAGTATCCCAGACACCATTAGCTCACATTAACAGCACCTTCTAAAGAGCAATGCTTCCGTCTGTGAACACCCTCGACCGCCTCTCTAAACGAGCAGCGAGAGTTACAGCCCGCTGTTTTCATCTCTGTCACCAGCTACAGCAGAGCTCAGGTGGGAACGTCCTCCCCCGGTGAATCATTAATAATGAGGAAGTGCAGAATTTAACAAGAGCAGAAAGAAAGGGGTTGTGTGCTTACCATTAAGTGATTTGGGAAAAAAAGCTAGCTTAAACAGAATACACAACCACCAATCAGAAATTGTTACTATAAGCCTAAATGGTTTATTAATTGATATATATATATATATATATATATATATATACACACACACACACACACATTAATATTTTAAATTTATATAATATATGTATACATATGTGTGAATATAGGTTTCATATAGCAAAATGTTTTTTTTCTATTTTTGTGAATATTATGCAGAACATTTTTGTAAATATTCAGTGTTGTGTATGAAAACATAAATACACAATTTTTGTAAATGAAATAATTTACACACAATGTATATATATATATATATAAATGTAATGTTACATGTTAATACATCAAATTTATATATAAATTAAATTATTTATAAAACTTCATTAAAATTAAAATGTATATTTGCTCTATATTTTATTTTTTACACACACACACACATATATATATATATTATATATATATATATACACACACACACATACATATATATATATATATATATATATATACACTGTAAATGTCCTACCGTAAATATATCAAAACTTAATGTTTGATTAGTAATATGCATTGCTAAGAACTTCATCTGAACAACTTTAAAGATGATTTTCTCAATATTTAGATTTTTATGCTCCCTCAGATTCCAGATTTTCAAATAGTTGTATCTCAACCAGATACTGTCCTATCCTAACAAACCATACATCAATGGAAAGATTATTTATACATAAATCTGAAACGACTGGTTTTGTGGTTCAGGGTCATATATACACATACATACATACATACATACATACACAAACACATTTTTTACAACAGTTAAACATGAAATATGTTTACATATATATTTTTTTATTATATACTGAAAAGCCATATCAATTCACTGATTCATACATACATACATACATAAACACATTTTTTACAACAGTTAAACATGAAATATGTTTACATATATATTATTTTTTTATTATATACTGAAAAGCCATATCAATTCACTGATTCAAGGAAATGAATCAAACTTTCCAACTCTAATTTATTTTACTAAAGCATCTCTATCTTAACACTTAATTACAAGATGCAAGACAAAAAAACGTCAGGAAACTTAATGGCTGAATAGCAATGCACTGTAATACTCAATTTTACGTCGCCAACAAAATCCTCACAAATTTATTGTCAATATTTGATCGCCCATCTCCCGTCATACAGATACGGGACAGGACAGCTGGAAAGTTCCTCCAGACAGCACACTGTTCACTAAACTTTCATAAAAATAAAATCAAGAGAGTCGGGTTCTTCCCAAGAGAAATACTGGGTGAAGTATGAAAGAGTAGCGGTGGAGGAAAAAAGAAGGAAAGTCAGCGCAAAAGAGAGAGAGAGAAATAGAAAGCTGTCAAGACTTAATCAAGGTGCTCTGGGCTGAAGAGTGGGCGAAGCCGAACAACTCGTATCGAGAAAGAGAGAGAAAGAATGGAGGGGCGGGAGGAAATAAAGCGGGAAATACACAGCAGCGCACAGCAAACCTTTAGCTTTAGCAACAGGGAATCTGCTTCAGCGCTGCGGTGTGTGTGCTGATGGCCTGCGGACATGTGTTCATGAACGGCTAAACACCATCCACCTGATGCCTGACGAGAAGTGCTGCTTTATACGCTTTAGCCTGAGACTGAACTACTGAGAAAACCACTAGTGAACTCATCAACATCTACTAACATGCAGATTCAAGTGCTAAAGGTTTAGAAGTCCTGACAGATCAACATAACACTCAGAGGGATTCAGTAATGAATGAAAAAGAGTGATTTGAGATTAACGGCATTATTACAGTTAACTACTACTAAACTGAAACTAAACTTAAGACCATTATAAACATTACTTGAAATAATACAGATGTTAACCAAACTAAAAATAAAATATAAAAATCTTTTTATTCCAGCTAGTTGCCAAGGCAACATTTCTCGTTTGATTTCATTTAATGTACTAAAATAAGTGACAAATAATAGAAAAATTATATAATAAAATTGTGTATTATAATAAATAAATATAGAATAATAAACATAAATATAAAAATATTATAATAAACAATACAATAAAATATAAGAAAATAGAACAAATAGAGAAACAAAAACTATTAAAATATTAAAACTACACTAACATCAGTGTAAATAACACTGGTTTGATTCAATTTAGCTATTAGTAATATATATATATATATATATATATATAGTGCTGTCAAACGATTAATCACATCCAAAATAAACGTTTTGTTTACATAATATATGTATGTGTACTGTGTTTATTTATTATGTATATATATATATAGGTTACATAGATTATGATAGCACTGTGTTAACATGATTAGCATGTTGCTAGCATGATTAGCATGATGTTAGTGATGTTACCTTGTTTCTACAGTGTTGTTAGCATGATTAGAACGTTGTCAACATATTTCTAACATGTTGCTAGCATGTTTCTAGCACAATTTCTGTGTTGTTAGTATGATTAGCACATTGTTAGCATGTTTGTTTTATTATTAGCATGTTGCTAGGATGTTTCTAACAATTAGTGTTGTTAGCATGTTTTTATCATGATTAGCATGTTGCTAACATGTTTCTAGCATGATTAACATTTTGCTAGCATGTTTCTAACATGATAATTACATGTTTCTAGCACAATTACTGTGTTAGCATGATAAGCACATTGTTAGCATGTTTATTTTATGATTAGCATGTTGCAAGGATGTTTTAGCATAATTAACATGTTGCTAGTATGTTTCTAACACGATTACTGTTGTTAGCATGTTTTTATTATGATTAGCATGTTGCTAACATGTTTCTAAAGTGATAATTACATGTTTCTAGCATGTTTTTATCATGCTTATGTTTCTAGCATGTTTCTAGCACAATTACCATGTTGTTATGATTAGCACGTTGTTAGCATGTTCCTATCATGATAAGCACGCTGCTAGTGTTTTTAGCATGATTAGCATGTTAACAACAATTACAGTGTTGTTAGCATGATTAGGATGTTGTTAACATGTTTCTACCAAGTTTTAACATGTTGCTAGCATGCTATTGCATGCTGCTACCATGAATTAGCATGTTCCTAGTATGATTTAACATGTTGTACTATAGGACAGTCATTAAGCTTTGCTGGTGATAAGACAGCTTAAACATAAACATAAGTCTTTGCAAAAGTCTTTTGTACAAAAGTTTTGACCCCCCTCAATGAAAGTCTATGGAAATTTTCGTCCGTTTAATGAAAATAGCAAGTCCGATCAGTTAGAAAAGATACAGCAACCCGAGTCAGACCAGTCTGAAGGTATGTCCTGAGTTCTAGGAGGAGATACATTTTAAAATGATTAAAATCCTAATTTAAATATAAAATAATAATATCATTAAAATTTAGTCTCAGAAGCAGCAGCTTAAATAGTAGATCAGTAGGTTGTTGTCTTTCTCAAGCTAACCTAATACATGCATATTGATTAGCAAGAAAACCACATGCAGTGATTGATCCGCAGCTCCATGGCATGTTCAAAAGGCTCTGGATAATGATTTCAGATCACTTCAAAAAAGTGATTTTTTTTCACGCTTTTCAGCACCTGCAGCCGAATCTAAAGGGACAAAGACGCTTGGCATTTGTTGAGTGCCATAATTGCGGCGATTGACATTGGCCTCTCTCCAGGGGATTTCAATCTTTTCGAGCATAAAACGCTGGCAAGCTCATGCGTGTGAGCATGTGCACGAGCAGAAAGGCTTGTGAACACAAAGGGAACGCCTCAGGAACAGCAGGCTGGCGAGAGCTGGCCGTCACGGGCTGCTGAAGACACACAGAATGCGGCTCTGATCACGGCGAGAGGCTTTCGGAGAGAACCACGCTTAGATTGTGCCAAAACCATTCAGACGTTGTCCAAAAAAACAGAACAGGTCAAATCACATTCAATGCAACTTTTGTGGACAGCATGTGATTTTATCCATTAAAAATGATTTGCATTGGGAAAAGAGTCCGGCGTCCAACCGCCGCAGATAAAACTCATCGTCCATCGCATCGTCGATTATCTCTCCACGACGAACCATATCCTGAAATGTATAAATGACCATTAGACACTTAATAATAAACTAGATTAGTCAAATTTGGTAACAAACTTTAAGGTTGGCTTGAAAAAGCCTAGCCTCAAAGTCTGAAGCAAGTTTGAAAGGTTACATAGATTATGATAGCACTGTGTTAACATGATTAGCATGTTGCTAGCATGATTAGCATGATGTTACCTTGTTTCTGGCACAATTACAGTGTTGTTAGCATGATTAGAACGTTGTCAACATATTTCTAACATGTTGCTAGCATGTTTCTAGCACAATTTCTGTGTTGTTAGTATGATTAGCACATTGTTAGCATGTTTGTTTTATTATTAGCACGTTGCTAGGATGTTTCTAACAATTAGTGTTGTTAGCATGTTTTTATCATGATTAGCATGTTGCTAACATGTTTCTAGCATGATTAAAATTTTGCTAGCATGTTTCTAACATGATAATTACATGTTTCTAGCACAATTACTGTGTTAGTATGATAAGCACATTGTTAGCATGTTTATTTTATGATTAGCATGTTGCAAGGATGTTTTAGCATAATTAACTTATAGTTAAAGTTTAACACTTTGGATAAAGAATCTGCCAAATGCGTAAATGTAAAATTGTGTCTCATGAAGGTTTCATAAAATTCCCTATAACAGCAGCCTAAAACAATGAAATAGCTATTTGGCTATTGGTTAGCATTAACCAACAGAGTCTGTGCGACCTCGCTGATGCTAGCTGAAAAGAAAAGTTGTTTCAGTGGCCATGCAAGTTAATTACATTTTGATAAAAGATTAAAAAGACAAACTTTCTTTTATTTAAAATAATGTGGACTAATGAATCAAGCAAATTAAGACCAGAAATATGTTAATGTTTCATTTAAATCAACTTGCAAGTAGTAGTATTTTTATTTTTTAAATAAATGAAATGATACTCTAAAGAAGAAACTAAAACTACCAGCAGTTCAAACGGCTGATTCATTCAGGAATGAAGTAAACGGTTCACTTTATGAATAGGCTATTGAATCATTGGTTCACACAATTCAAGGATTCATTCAGAAATTGTTGCACGGAGATGCACAACAGTTCTGCTGTGGCTTTAATATTTAACACAATATTAACTTCTTATTTACTGAACTGTTGTATAAAATCACATTTGGACTCAATATCTTGCATTTTAGTGCATAACTGCATTTATGAAGTTGTTGCCCTGCGTCATATTTGTCAACAGTCAACTGTATGGAATGTAAGATGACGTACAGGTTTGGGGGAGGGGCCAGCGCGTTAACTGCGTTAAAATATTTTAATTGCGTTATTTTTTCATAACTAATTAATTAAGTTAATGCGTTAAACTGACAGCCCAAATATATAGTATTGTAACGTACATATCACATTATTTGTAATTTCTTGTAATTAAATATATATATATTAGTGCTGTCAAATGAATAATCACATCCAAAATAAAAGTTTTTGTTTACATAATATATGTGCTGTGTATATTATGTATATATAAATACACACACATGCATGTATATATTCCAGAAAAATATGTTATGTATTAAATATATTTATTTAAAATATAAATTATATGAATATAAATAGACAAATAAATAGAATATATTTTCAAAATATATACCGTATGTGTGTGTATTTATATATACATAATAAATATACACAGTACACACACATATGCAAACAAAAACTTATTTTGGATGTGATTAATCACGATTAATCGTTTGACAGCACTAATATATATACACATACATACATAATTTAAATTTTTATATTTAAAATAAATAAATGTTATTGTAAATAGGCTATATATTCATATTATATATGTTCATGCATATATGTTCATATATATAAATATACACACATATATACACATTTAATTTTAATATTTTAAATAAACGTTTAAAAAATTTGCTATACATTTATATTAAATGTATATGAATATAATATATGTATATATTAAGTACATACATACATTAATACTGTGCACTGTTGAATTACGCAAAATAGGACAAGTAACACATTAAGAAAGTAAATACTTTCTATGTTAATTTAAGGAATTTCAGTTCCTACTTAAGGACTGATTTAAAGAGTGCAAAAAAATATGTTCATCATCATCACGCTGTCAAGCGTTTCGATCTTTTGCAGGTGTTATTCAAGTCTCGTTACAGAGAAACAGCCTTCGGCAAGTCAATTACACAAGTGCAAATAACAAGCGGCTTCACCTCTGGGAAACAGAGCGATTTTTAGACACTTCCTGTTGGAGAACTGCAGACTGGCACAGGTGTTAATATGACAGGCAGAACAAAGCAGCGCCGGGACCTGTGATTGAGTCTCACGGGACACGCCGAGACTAAATTAATCCAAGCACACCCTGCCAGCACTTCCTTCGCGGATCCTTTCGAGATTTCCCAAAGAGCCTTGTGCGTGTGTGAGCGAGTGTGAGGTGCTGCGGCAAAACGAGAAGAGCAGGAGACGAGCAGACCGAACGCAGAGAGGGTTTATGGGGGTCTGTGTTTAGGAAATGCAATTCGGAGAGAATTTGTAGCTGTCATTAGGCAGTAAAAGGAGGCGAGACGGGTTCACATGAGTGCGGCGCTGACAGGACTCCGAGGAGTTTTTATCAAAAGGCTCTGGATAATGATTTCAGATCACTTCAAAAAAGTGATTTTTTTTCACGCTTTTCAGCACCTGCAGCCGAATCTAAAGGGACAAAGACGCTTGGCATTTGTTGAGTGCCATAATTGCGGCGATTGACATTGGCCTCTCTCCAGGGGATTTCAATCTTTTCGAGCATAAAACGCTGGCAAGCTCATGCGTGTGAGCATGTGCACGAGCAGAAAGGCTTGTGAACACAAAGGGAACGCCTCAGGAACAGCAGGCTGGCGAGAGCTGGCCGTCACGGGCTGCTGAAGACACACAGAATGCGGCTCTGATCACGGCGAGAGGCTTTCGGAGAGAACCACGCTTAGATTGTGCCAAAACCATTCAGACGTTGTCCAAAAAAACAGAACAGGTCAAATCACATTCAATGCAACTTTTGTGGACAGCATGTGATTTTATCCATTAAAAATGATTTGCATTGGGAAAAGTGGGATTTCTGAGCAGGATGAAGGTCAAGTTCACCTTGCAGAGCGTCTCAATAGTGGCCTTTCCTTTTGAAAAAAAGCATTCATTCATTCATTCCTGTAGCTCAAAATGTAGAGCATGCTGCTAGTAACAATATGGGTCATGGGTTCGCTTCTCAGAGCTTTTAAAATGTATGCATTGAATGCAATACAAGTTTATAGTTAAAGTTTAACACTTTGGATAAAGAATCTGCCAAATGCGTAAATGTAAAATTGTGTCTCATGAAGGTTTCATAAAATTCCCTATAACAGCAGCCTAAAACAATGAAATAGCTATTTGGCTATTGGTTAGCATTAACCAACAGAGTCTGTGCGACCTCGCTGATGCTAGCTGAAAAGAAAAGTTGTTTCAGTGGCCATGCAAGTTAATTACATTTTGATAAAAGATTAAAAAGACAAACTTTCTTTTATTTAAAATAATGTGGACTAATGAATCAAGCAAATTAAGACCAGAAATATGTTAATGTTTCATTTAAATCAACTTGCAAGTAGTAGTATTTTTTTTTTTAAATAAATGAAATGATACTCTAAAGAAGAAACTAAAACTACCAGCAGTTCAAACGGCTGATTCATTCAGGAATGAAGTAAACGGTTCACTTTATGAATAGGCTATTGAATCATTGGTTCACACAATTCAAGGATTCATTCAGAAATTGTTGCACGGAGATGCACAACAGTTCTGCTGTGGCTTTAATATTTAACACAATATTAACTTCTTATTTACTGAACTGTTGTATAAAATCACATTTGGACTCAATATCTTGCATTTTAGTGCATAACTGCATTTATGAAGTTGTTGCCCTGCGTCATATTTGTCAACAGTCAACTGTATGGAATGTAAGATGACGTACAGGTTTGGGGGAGGGGCCAGCGCGTTAACTGCGTTAAAATATTTTAATTGCGTTATTTTTTCATAACTAATTAATTAAGTTAATGCGTTAAACTGACAGCCCAAATATATAGTATTGTAACATACATATCACATTATTTGTAATTTCTTGTAATTAAATATATATATATTAGTGCTGTCAAATGAATAATCACATCCAAAATAAAAGTTTTTGTTTACATAATATATGTGCTGTGTATATTATGTATATATAAATACACACACATGCATGTATATATTCCAGAAAAATATGTTATGTATTAAATATATTTATTTAAAATATAAATTATATGAATATAAATAGACAAATAAATAGAATATATTTTCAAAATATATACCGTATGTGTGTGTATTTATATATACATAATAAATATACACAGTACACACACATATGCAAACAAAAACTTATTTTGGATGTGATTAATCACGATTAATCGTTTGACAGCACTAATATATATACACATACATACATAATTTAAATTTTTATATTTAAAATAAATAAATGTTATTGTAAATAGGCTATATATTCATATTATATATGTTCATGCATATATGTTCATATATATAAATATACACACATATATACACATTTAATTTTAATATTTTAAATAAACGTTTAAAAAATTTGCTATACATTTATATTAAATGTATATGAATATAATATATGTATATATTAAGTACATACATACATTAATACTGTGCACTGTTGAATTACGCAAAATAGGACAAGTAACACATTAAGAAAGTAAATACTTTCTATGTTAATTTAAGGAATTTCAGTTCCTACTTAAGGACTGATTTAAAGAGTGCAAAAAAATATGTTCATCATCATCACGCTGTCAAGCGTTTCGATCTTTTGCAGGTGTTATTCAAGTCTCGTTACAGAGAAACAGCCTTCGGCAAGTCAATTACACAAGTGCAAATAACAAGCGGCTTCACCTCTGGGAAACAGAGCGATTTTTAGACACTTCCTGTTGGAGAACTGCAGACTGGCACAGGTGTTAATATGACAGGCAGAACAAAGCAGCGCCGGGACCTGTGATTGAGTCTCACGGGACACGCCGAGACTAAATTAATCCAAGCACACCCTGCCAGCACTTCCTTCGCGGATCCTTTCGAGATTTCCCAAAGAGCCTTGTGCGTGTGTGAGCGAGTGTGAGGTGCTGCGGCAAAACGAGAAGAGCAGGAGACGAGCAGACCGAACGCAGAGAGGGTTTATGGGGGTCTGTGTTTAGGAAATGCAATTCGGAGAGAATTTGTAGCTGTCATTAGGCAATAAAAGAAGGCGAGACGGGTTGACATGAGCGCAGCACTGACAGCACTCCGAGGCGTTTTTAAACAAGGGCTCTGCTATGGGTGATATACTTTTATAGCGCTCGGAGAAAGCCTCGAACACTGTTCCATCTGCGGGGAGTGCTGGTGTTCAGTCGACGGGTGCGAAACAAGAGCAGACATTTCCACGGTCATATTCCTGTCACCGCTTCTGAGAGACGATTTATAGGCCTCTGAAGAAGACGCAGAGCAGAAAGTCAGATAAGGTGGATGGGAAACACACACACACACACACACACACACACACAGAAGATGGTTTTAAATCGACACACCTGCACAAAGACCTGAAACAAGAGCTGAGCGGCATATTGAACATTCACCAACTGCTCAGTGGTTTTGCTGGTCAACAAAACCCGCCCAATTGCTACTCAAAACTAGCCTAAAACAAGCCCAAATGCATTTCGAGTGGGTCCCCGGTAAAAATCGCGTTCCGGGGGCTAAAATACACAATTTTTGTCAAGGTTCCCCTTGTAAAAATTTTTTATACCTAAATATCATGTTATTGGGGTCGCTTTAACCCGCGGACATTAAAAACAACCCGCGGCAACAGTGTTAAAGTAGCCCAATTCCGTGGGAAAACCACAGACTTGGCAACACTGCTGCCAAATCAATATTTCATCTTTGCAATAAATAAAACCAATAAATAATAGTGCACACACATATATATATATAAAGTAGAAGTAAAAGAGATAATAATAATTAAATTAAAAAAGATAATTAAAATAAATAAATAATTATCTATGGTTGCCAGGTTGGGAAGATTAAGTAAACCACTGTTCAGAAAATTTATTGATTTACAAAAAAAGCTGTGATTGGGGGATTTAGGCTCTTAAAATCTGGCAACCGCAACCATGAAAGCTTGTTTCAGGCTTGTGTTCCCAATGCCAACGCAAATGGCGGGTAAATATCACAGATGATTATGCTATAATTGAGAGAAGCAGCAATCGTGATCATGATTAAAGTACGATTTATCAGGCAGTTTCACATCGGGGTCCTGATCACCTTTGTGATATAATCAATATAGCGTGGTTATATTTCACTCAGCAATGGCGTATTAAATTGACCAAAAGTGACAGTAAAGACATTTATTCAAAAGATTCGTTAACGTTTCAAAAGATTTATATTTCAAACAAATGCTGTTCTTTTAAACTATTTATGAAAGAATCTGTAATAAATGTATCATGGTTTCCACAAAAATATTTGGCAGCGCAACTGTTTTCAACATTGATAATAATCAGAAATGTTTCTTGAGCAGCAAATCAGCATATTAGAATGATTTCTGAAGATCATGTGATACTGAAGACTGGAGTAATGATGCTGAAAATTCAGCTTTGATCACAGAAACAAATTACAAATTAAATTAAATATTCACAAAAAATAGTTATTTTAAATTGTAATAATATTTCACAATTTTACTGTATTTTTGATCAAATAAATGCAGCCTTGGTGAGCAGACGAGACTTCATTCAGAAACACTGTACCGACTCCAAACTTCTGAACACATTAAACACATGAAAACTACATTATATTACTTGTTCAGCCCAAGCTGAAACATCCCTGAAAACCATCTTGAACACACACACACACACGCACAGACACACACATTAGGATGGATGAGACACAAGCTGCAGGAGTCCACATCAGTGCCCAGATCACATCCTCAACATACACACGCCAATACCCCGAGTTCACACACACACACACACACACACACACAAACACACTCATACAGAGTATAATCACACACATACACACATAATCAGTCACACACACACACAGTATAATAACACACACACACACACACACACACACATATACAGAGTATAATCACACACATAATCAGTCACACACATACAGTATAATCACACACCGTCCACACACTCAAGGATGTTGGCTAATGAAATACAGTTACACAATGTGGAATAACCGCCCAACCTGACAATTATCATCAATTAGCATCTGCCTTTAATCATCTCCACGTTAATTATCACTGGCTGAGACCCCACAACTTACATAACGAGAGTTACGGCTCTAAAACCTGATTGGATGAGACAAGCTAAGAGTGTCGGTAAAAAGCCTTTAAACACACACCTGTGAGCGCACGCCAATTACATTCTCTATTAATAAACCAAGTCACAAAACTTTAATAAAAATTTATTACTAAGATTATCCTTTTTAATAAAAACAATAACAGCAATAATAATAATAATAACTGATCTTAAAAGTATATACAATTCTATCAATGATAATAATATATATATTTTTAATTAATATGCAATAACAACAATACTAATGTATTAATAATAATAATATAGATTATTGTAAATATGCAATATTATTATATTTGGAATTCTGCTAATGTTGACATTCAATGTTAATAATAAATGATAATAGATTATTTTAAAAATACGCAACAACACCACCACCACCACCATCAATTATTATTATTATTTTAAACACATACAATATTATCATATTTGGAATTAGGTAAATGTTTCTATTCACAATGCTAATAATACATTGTTTTTAAAATGTAATATGCAATGTTTTATGCAAATGTTTGCATTCACAATGCACATGGCAATGTTTTTTTCAGTGTTTTTGAATAAACTTTGGCTTAAATGTGAAGTTTCAAAGGAATTCACATTTAAAGCATGTCAAGATTAGTAAGCATTAGTAAGTTTTTTTATTTATTATATAAATATGCTTATTATTTATTATTATAATTATAATTACTATTATGAACATTATGATTAAGATTAAGAAAAATAATTAGTAATATAACGTAACATTATAGTTGTCCAGGATCCACAAGACCATGCTGGTTTTCACTTTTTTGAGTAGTGACAACACATTTGAAGTATTTGGATCAGTGTTTTAATGCCAACACAAGCTGTTTGAGATGTAACATTTTAAAAGAAGCAAGACCAACCGAACCGTTTTTGTTTGGGTGTTGGTCGAGTTGCGACTACACAGACTCCAGATGAGAAAGTGTGTGCGAATCAGCGCTCAGTGTAAAAGTTAAACAGCGTTCGGTTTTAAAGGCGAGCGGAGTGTCCGGGAAGATCCCAGTGAAGTTTGAGTCTGGTAGGTCTGCTCTTATCTTCACACACAGATCTGCCCTCGCCAAGGAGATACTGCCAATCAAGCGTGAACGTGTGTGTGTGTGTGTGTGTGTGAGAGTGAGTGTGTGTGTGAATCTTACGTGCTTCTCTCCTTCGATCCTCTTGTCTGCGAGCTGAACGGCTTCCAGGTACTTAAAATGCAGCTCCATGAGTCTGTCGACCTGCAGAAGAGAGCGAACGAGGGTGAGCGCGTTACAAATGCACCCAAACACACCAGAGATGTGCTTTAGGACCCACATTTGCATTATGTGAATGACTTTCATATTTAACTGCGGCGAACAAGACGGATGGCGGCTGTGTTATTTAAAGACAAGCAGAAGCATTCGTCATCCCCTTTCCACCAATTCCTGTGACAATCTGAAGATGAACAGAAGTGAGGCATGACGCCCATATGGCCGAAATCTTTTAGCTCCAGAAACTACCAATAATGCACTGCTGCTGTCAGAGTGATAAAACAGGCCCCGGCAGGACTGTGAGGGTTATTTTAAGAGTAGTGACTGCTGAGCGATAATGGCACACATGTCCGTCCAGGTGATGTATGGAGACCCCCAACAGAGACTAAAGGAGACGTATAACACAGGACACAGGAGAAAACGGCATGAACGCCGCTGAGACAGTCCAAACAACACCGGCATGAAACATTATTATACTGATGCACGACTGAACGACACAACGAGAGAGAGAGAGAGAGAGAGAGAGAGAGAGAGAGAGAGAGAGAGAGAGAGAGAGAGAGAGAGAGAGAGAGAGAGAGAGAGAGAGAGAGAGAAAGCCAAGAAAACAAGCAAGAGGGAAGAAAAGAGCCAAAATGAGAGAACAAAACCAACAGACAAGAGCAAATTAAACAGCAAGAAAATAACACAAAATGGAAGAAAATAAAGAACAAATGAAAGAATAAACAAAAAAGCATTGACAAACAAGAGACTAAAAGAATTAATAAAGAGATGAATAAAAACAAATGAATGAAAAGGAAGAGAAAGAATGAACAAAACCAATCAACAAGTTTGAATAAAACAGTAAACCGACAAAAAGAAAATAAAGGGGACTAATGGGGGAAAAAAAGAATGAAAAGAACAGACGAGATAAAATAAAGAACAAACAAAAGAATAAATGAAAAAAGGTAAACAAACCAAATTGAAAAAGAAATTACTTCTTCAAGAGTAAAAACTCAAAATGGCAGGAGCAACAAATGAAAGAACAAAAAGAAACCAACAAGAGAAAACAAAACCGCAAACCAACAAAGCAAAAAGGAAATAGAGAACAACAAAAGAACCAAGAGCAAACAAAACAAAATAAAACGGCAGGAAATAAAGAACAAAAGAACAACCAAAAAGGATCAAAAAGCAACAAACCAGAAAAAAAGAAGAAATAAACTAACAAATGGACAAAAGAAGAAATAGAGAAAACAAAAACCAACAAACAAGCAACAAAACGGCAGGAAATAAAGAACACCAAACGAAAGAACAAACAAAAGAACAAATGAAAATGGATGAACAAACTAATAAATCAAAAAAGAAATAAATTACAGATTGAAGGAATTGATCAAATAATGAATAAAAAACAATTCATAAACAAAAGAGAAAAACAAAAATCAACCAACAAGAGCAAAACAAAACAAAATGGCATGAAATAAATAACAAATGAAAAAACAAAAAGCAAAAAAGGATGAAGAAACCGACAATAAATGATAAACGAAAAGATTTCAAAGAAAAACAGGAGGAAATCAAAAATGCAAAAAATGAATAAACAAATCCAAAAATTGAAAGAGTGCACAAAAGCAAAACAAAACTGAAGGAAATAAAGAACACTCAATGAAAGAACAGAAGAATAAATGAAAATTGGTTGAACAAACCAAAAAAAGAAATAGACTATAGGATGATATGATGAATAAAAGTATGAACAGAAAACAAATGAACAAACAAAAGAAAGAGAACCAACAAAAACCAACCGAAAATAACAAAACAAAAAACCCAACCAATGAATGAAACAAAGAACAAATGTAGGTCTCAAAGAATTAAAAGAATGAATAAACAAAAGAGTATACAAAACAACTAGCAAATTAATTAATTATAAATAAATGAAACACATCCAACAAAAAACAAACATACTATTGAAAAGCAAAAAACAAAAGTATCAATGAATAAAAAAGAAAGCGAAATGAAAAGATGATAGTGATAAAAGTTTAAATTGCAGAACTTGTTAACAGTTCAGAACGTATTTAAAATGTTACAATTATTAAAATTTTAAAGCACAACATTTCTTTTTAAATGGTCAGAGAGAAGCACAGCATGTTCTGACTAAACGCTAGAAACAGTCTATATTATCTTTATGGCAGCATTAAACCCATCTGCCAGCCAACTCTCCTGAAGCGCTCTTTTGTCGTCACTCCGCCGTTTTTAGAAGCAGAAGATAATAAAGCCGTACCGTCAGCTGTCTTATTTTTACCTTCTCGCAGTCGTTCTCTGTGAACTTGCTGAGGAGACGACTTCTCTGCTGCCCTTTGAGGTTCCTCAGCATGGAGGCGATGATGGAGCACACATGCTCTGCCAGAAGAAAACAAGGCTTTAGTGTCCTGATTTAACACACTCGTGTCATCATTCACATTACATGAAGTAAAAGCACTGAGCAATGAGTGGGAGGTGACAGCAATCTGCCTTTCTAGACTGAGAACATGAAACCGGCCGCAAACACAAGAGATTAGACGCCCTCGGTTCATACAAGTTCTCCTGCAGTTTTAAAAAGTACGTTTCCAACTTTCTCTTGTAGCTGTCAGAGTGATTGCAGCGGATCAAAAGCAATGCAGAAGCGACTGTAAAGTTGACTTAAGAAACTGCAGAACAAACGGAGTTATGAAGACATTTTCCAGCACTCCTTTTGCTGTCTGGGTGATTTCAATCTCGACTTTTCTTGAATCGCTTTTATTAGGTTTGTGGGTTTTATAAACTACTGATCAGAAGAAGAGATGTTTTAATGTTTTTGAAAGAAGTAGGGCTGCAAAACGATTAGTTGCGATTTATCGATTCAAAATCAAGTTTGTTTACATACGTGTGTGTACTGTGTATATTTATTACGTATATATAAACACACACACATATACACTACCGTTCAAAAGTTTGGGATCAGAACGATTTTAAATTTTTTTTTAAAGGAGTCTCTTCTGCTCATCAAAGCTGCATTTATTTGATAAAAAATACAGGAAAAAATTTAATATTGTGAAATATTATGATGATGTAAAATAACGTTTTTCTATTTTAATATACATTAAAATCTAATTTATTTCTGTGATGCGCAGCTGAATTTTTATTCAACACATCCTTGCTTTTATTCAGCAAGGATGTGTTAAATTGTTAAGTGATTGCGAAGATTTACATTGTTAGAAAAGATTAATATTTTGAATAAATGCTGTTCTTTTTAACTTTTTATTCAGCAACGAATCCTGAAAAAAGTTTCTATCGCAGTTTCCAAAAAAAAAATATTTGGCAGCACAACTGTTGCCAACATTGATAATTCTAATAATAAATCAGCATATTAGAATGATTTCTGAAGGATCATGTGACACTTTATACTGGAGTAATGGCTGATGGAAATTCAGCTTTGCATCACAGAAATAAATTATATTTTAAAGGATATTAAAATAGAAATCATTATTTTATATTGTAATAACATTTTGCAAGATTACAGTTTTTTCCTGTATTTTTGATCAAATAAATGCAGCCTTGATGAGCAGAAGAGACTTCTTTAAATAACATTACAAGTCTTACTGATCCCAAACTTTTGAACGGTAGTGTATATATATATATATATATATTGTACATATATGTATATATATTTAAAAAATATATATTTGTATGTAAACTCTTGTATATAATTTATATTATATATAAATATAAATATTTTACATATAAATCTAACATTTTTATTTTAATATATACACATGCGTGTATATTTATATATACATAATAAATATACACAGTACACACATATAGTATGTAAACAAACTTTTATTTTAAATCGATTAATTGTGACTAATCGTTTTGCAGCCCTAGAAAGAAGTCTCTTCTGTTCACCAAGGCATCCTTTATTTGATTAAAATACAGTAAAATTGTGAATTATTATTACAACTCAAAATAACCATTTTCTATTAGAATATATGTAAAAATTTTATTTATTTCTGTGATCAAAGCTGAATTTTCAGCATCATTGCTCCAGTCTTCAGTGTCACATGATCTTCAGAAATCAGTATAATATGCTGATTTGCTGCTCAAGAAACATTTCTGATTATCATTAATGTTGGAAACAGTTGCGCTGCTTCATATTTTTTGTGGAAAAAATTGATAGATATTATTTTTATGATTCTTTGATGAATGTAAAAAGAACAGTGTTTATAGAAATCATAACATTTTAAATGTCGTTACTGCCAGTTTTGATCAATTTTCTTCTACTTTTTAAAAACTGTTTTATAGAAAGCATCCACACAGAGCCAAAAGTTATAATTTACTTAAAGACATAAAAGGAGAAATGCTGGAGATAACTGCTGCAAATGGAAAATACGAGGCTGCACTAAAAGCTTTAATGAACGTGGAGTGAAGTGTATGAAGGTCTTCACATGCTGCTGTCGCCTATAAAAACACACTAATGAAGAAGCATTAGAGCGGAGCCAAACAACGTGCAACAAGACATCAGACGCAACCACAAATCTGATCTGACGGCTTGTTTGCCTTCAAGCAGGACTGTACAGTAAGAATGAGTGCATCACTCGAGACTCAGGGACTGCAAAAGAAGAAAACCACAACTTGTTAAAGAAATAGTTTATCCTAACATTAAAATTAGCTGAAAATGTACTCGCACTCAGGCCATCCAAGATGTAGATGAGTTTGTTTCTTCATCAGATTTGGAGAAATGTAGCATTGCATCACTTGCTCAGCAATGGATGCTCTGCAGTGAATGGGTGCCGTCAGGATGAGAGTCCAAACAGCTGATAAAAACATCACAATAATCCACAAGTTTTGTTTTGTTTCTTACAAACACGCAGCTTTTGGCTTCTCAAGACATTAACTGATGGACTGGAGTGGTGTGTGAATTATTGTGATGTTTTTATCAGCTGTTTGGACTCTCATTCTGACGGCACCCACTCACTACAGAGGAGCAAGTGATGCAATGCTACATTTCTCCAAATCTGATGAAGAGACAAACTCATCTACATCATGGATGGCCTGAGGGTGAATAAAAATTCAGCAAATTTTCCTTTTTGGCTGAACTATTCCTTTAACGCCAATGCCCTTCTACGTCAATTGAACTTTACTTATTGTGTTTGATGATGGTTATACTGTACCAAACAACATTTAATGTCTTCTATAACAGCGCGTCCATGAAAGTCATTCTTCATCAGGTTAAAAATCAATATTTAAACACTATCTCGTACAGGCACTCACAACCCATAATCAGACGGCCTTGATAAAACTATTTAATTTGGCCTCGTCCTTCACCAGCGCTGAATACAAATGAGTTTAAACATCAGTTCGCGTGCATCTCTTAAGCAACACATTACGCATCCTAATGCCGGTAAAGCGGAGGCGACCCATTAATCAACAGACATGAGAGGAAGCGCTCGGTCAGCACTGCGATGTCGCGGGTCTTCAAGGCGACTCTGGGAAGCGCAGCCACCAGAAGTGAGGGAGGAAAAAAACCAACGTTATTAGCGGCAGAATAAAGTGTCTGGGGTGAGGAATACAGCCACAGGGAGCGGATGAGAGGAGAGAGGTGCAGGCTAGAGGTCTGAGATAAGTGTGTTATCTCGCAGCTCTGCCGCGGGACAGCTTTTGTCATCATTACACACAGGAAAGAGGACTCGGCTACCCGACTACATCACTCTGGGTCGCCGTGGCAACAGGGAGAAAGGCCATTGGCTGGCGGGTCATGAATGCGGCGGGATGTCCAGTAGGGAAGCTTTTGTCATCATTACACACAGGAAAGAGGACTCGGCTACCCGACTACATCACTCTGGGTCGCCGTGGCAACAGGGAGAAAAGCCATTGGCTGGCGGGTCATGAATGCGGCGGGATGTCCAGTAGGGGGCACTACTTTATGTGGGACGAACACAAATGAGTAAGAGAAACCGTTCAAAGGCCGTTAGCTGTTAGCTTGATAACCGAAGGCTAAATGAAAATAGAAAGAATGGGAAAAAGTTTAATTTGACCATTTTTAGCTTCAGTGATATAGTGTGATATGTAATTTGAGAGTCATTAACATTTTCATAATTAAAAATAAATACACTGTAAAGTGATTTTCTATCATTTGTAATAAGGCATTTTTAATGAGAACCCATTTCAAAAATTATATATAATTAAATTTAAATGAAAAAAAGAAAATTAATGTAATAAAATAATTTAAACAAATTTTACAAAAATAGCATTAATTAAAAAATAATATTGAAACTATAACTGAAAAAATATAATTTATAACTTATGTAAATAATAAAAATAAATTATATATGATTAATAAATAAAAATGAATTAAACATTAAAAAGAAAACTTATAAATACACAATGATATAAAATTATAATACACAATGATATACAAGGAAGGAAATATTACTATATCATAATTTATAAATTATAATTACTAAAAATACATTATACACATATGCAATTAATTAATTAAATTAATAAAAATAAGATGTTTATAATTAAAATATTTTTTTTCAAAAATATAATTGAAAAATACGTATGATTGAAAATGTATATATGATTAATAAATACAAAAATATATTTTTAAAAACTGAAAAATTAATTTATAAGTTATATAAAATTAAGAAAATATAATTTTATAATTATTATTTATCAAAATGCATTATACACATATACAAATAATTAATACATTGAAGAAAAAAATATCCATGACATGGATCCGTTTTGATGTTTAAAGTTCTATCATTAATGTGTAAGCTATCGTATGCCTTCAGAAGATGTGAAATATACTGCACGAGTCAAAAGCATTGCTTTTACTGCGCTTTAAAATTGTGTTCGTCCTTTTTAGAGCTTGACAAATTTGATACTCGCTCAAAGAAAAAAGAAAGTCAACAACATGAGGGTGAATAAATGACAATTCACATTTCTGGGCGAACACTGCCTTTAAGATATAGCCTGGGATTTAAAAAAAAATGATCTCAAAGGCCCAGCAGAAAATATTCCTCACGTATTTACGTTTGCATGTTTTACGAAATACCACATGAAGAAATACTTGATCCAAATGTCTTGTATGCGACTACATTACATAAACTAAAGCATCTATCGTGTGTTCTTCTGCCTAGAGAGACAAGACAAAGGTGTTTTGTTACAGTTGAAGAAAATCCCTGGAAACAAAGCGGATTATCGCATTATCATGGTACGAATCTGCAGCAAAAGAACTGCTAATTTTCAATAATGAATCCATTAGCGAAACCTTTGAGGACGGCGGAACCATGATCCGATTCCAAGTTTCATTTCTAACGGGAGAATTACCAGAGCTCTGGAGATCAGCGCAATTACACCGACGCTTTTGATCC